CCTTACTTATTTGCTACATCCCTGCGCTATTATGCTCCTGAAGTCCACCCACCTACTCCACTTGGAAATTTCTTCGAAGACATGATGCATGGAAACATGCGATACGATATGCTGCCGCTTCCGACCCCGCGCAGACTTACGACGACGAAACTTAAGTCCCCACCGACTACATCCGACTACGACCTACGAGGCCATTGGATCGGGTTACTATCTTTGGGCTCGTATGGGTCGCTCTCGGGTGTTCGGTGCGACATATGCGGGGCGGAGACGACGCCAGAACGACTGGCCCCCATTGGGGTCCTGCCGTTCAACCACCATTTCGCGAATTCGTCCGCGAAGTATACATGCCTGGATCAACGTGACCACGGGCAACATGACACCCTCACAGCAGAGGCCGCCGCACTGCAGCGCGGTCTGGGAGGGCTCGCACGGACCATAGCTATGAGAGCCCCCCCATCAGTCACCAATTCTGGCGTGAATATAGGCGATCGCCACATCGACGGCGCCACCTGCATTATGTTTTTCTTAAGTGCGAAGTTCGAGAACCTAGAAGGGGAACGCCAGCTTAACTCTGGCACTGTTCTCATAGACTTTCGAGTCCATGCGGGGGGAACGTATCGACCAGACGTTAGCACAGTTCGAAATAGCCCGCTACGAAGCTGAAACCGCCGGCTTCAACATCCCCAACTTCCAAATATCAGAAGTAATTCTAGTCAGAGCTCTTGGAGTTGGGGCGACGCGTGCACAACAACTCCTGCAGCCTCTCGACCACCACATGCCGAGGGACCAAGCACAATTTGACGCTCTACTCGAACACATGCGGTCATCTGCTCACATAGCTGAGAGGACCCCTGGCAATATTGGTGGTATTTTTAGTCACGGCCACCGAACCGAGACTTTCCACGCAGAGGCCAACGTTGGGCCACCTGCTAACAACGTCTGGAACGACGATACACCGCCAACTGAGACCGCTACACTGTTGGCTCAGAATGGTGGAACGGCCTCGGGGTCGCAAGACTCCTGGGACAGATTCAGGGGACCACCTGACGCGGTTTCCCCTATGCAAGCAATGACGCTAATGGGCTCAGCGGGGCAACCCGCCGATTCCGACTTCGACTCCGGTACCGATGCGGATGCGTCTTCCGATGATGAAGCTACCGCTTTGGATTGCTCTGATATGCCTACATACCTTACTGGTTATTTTTGGGCTATCAAAAACACGAGCCTCGTTGGCCGAGGTTCATGAAGAAACCAGCCAGAAGGGTAAGGCGCATGGTGCGGAGGGCGCTTAAAGGAAGAGGCAAGGGTCGAAGTAAAGGCAAAGGTGAGCGTCGGCGACTACATGGTAGAGGCATACTAGCATTCCTAGCGTCTCTCACTGGACCTCAGTCTGTAGAATTGTTTTTAGGCGCTGGCAGAAACCGTAGGCATACCTCAGGTAAGGGCAAAGGACGACGAGGAAACCCAACATATGCCAACTGTAAAGCCATGGAGTGCGACATATGTCACAGTACACAACATTTTCCGACCTGAGTGCCCCCGTGGTGATGGGAGAGGCAGGGGTCCGTCAATGCATCTGGCTCAAACGGACTCTGACATGCAGTATGTCGATGGGAGTCGCTTCTAGCCGACCCTGCCGACGGCTCAGCCACAATTGTTCATTTCATGGCTGCCAGGTATCTAAGTGCCAGTATGACCCTCGAGAATTACGCCGACGAGCTGTTCGAGGAGGTGTTCGCTGGCCACGACGACGTCGACTTGGCAGAGTGGCTGGGTGTACCCATCGCGGGGCAACCTGCAGATATTGGGTTTGTCGATAACTTCCACATGCCCGTCGAAGGCGATTTCAGTATGGCGGGGGCACTCGCGGATTCAGACTCTACCAATCCTGCGACAGAGGAGGAAGTACATGCAATGATTTATCCTCGGGCGATTGGAAACCCTACAAACACGGAATTAATCGATGCTGATCCATTGCGGGGAAGCCCGCGCGATGCTGGTGATCTATCTGAGCGCCTTTAATATGAGCTCGGGCATGAAGAATTTCAGTATCTTTTTGTTGCGTCAGATCGGTCGGCCGGCACTTCCGTGCTCGGCGGCTCTGGGGGGGCCCCTGCTGCAGTTCGGTCGCCGAATGGCCATCCGCCGGGCCAGCGCGGTTTTCCCTGGCAGCCTCTTCGCGATATCGATCCACCTGGGCGTGGGGGGGGGGCCTGGATGGGGCCAGTGAACAGGAGGCTCTGACAGGGCCTGGCGGTGTCCCTCCTGGGCCGGGAATCCCATGGACGATCCTGCGCCATTGGAAGTGCGCGCCGGCTGAGCTGTCGAAGTCGGGCCGGCTCAACGCGGTCGCGGGCGCGATCTTCAAGTCCAGGTCGGCCGCGCTTTTCGCGCGGGACACGGGGGGGGGGCGGGGTTCAAGAGCGGGTCGCTGTCGAGGGGGAGGTCGATTACTCCGCGGGGGCAGAGGTCCTGAGGCGCCGCGTCCGCAAGGTCGCGGCCTTGGACCCGGCCCTTTCGTCGCTTCGCGCGCCCGCGGTCGCCGCGCGCGGGGGCCGCTCGGGGAAGGTCTTGCCCGGGGCGCCCAAGATGTTCAAGACGTTCCCATGCGGGGCCCATCGTGGGCCCGCGCCCGGCACCGCGCAACGCCGACTGGATGGGGATTGTTTATTATGAGCGGCAGTGGCCCGGCAGCGCGGAGTCGGATGGTCTGACACCTGTGCCATGGGATGGGCAATGAGCGATGGCAGCCAGTAAAGGCGCGCTGCGGTAGACATATGGGCAACTGGTGGAGCGGGCGTTGGATTTTGTTTTGTAAGAAAGACTCATGAGCAATGGTGCTGCTCAATGTTGCGCAACTGCAAGTCGAAATGCTCATGCGGAAATTGGGGCTTGCGGTGCAGCCGCCTTCGTGGCTACCCCGGTCAACATGTTTAACCTAAATGCGCAAATCCCAATCCTTGAGCTGGCTTTTTGATGGAGTTGAATGTGGACGGGGTCAGGACACTGATTTGATCCACGAACCTGGCGTATGGGCCCAGCTGCTCACTTACTTGGCAGCCTGTAAACTTGGCTGCTTGCGAACTTGGCTCGTGGATTCAACGTTGCGAATCTGGGTTGGCCCAGCTTGGCCATGCAAGCTCCATGTGGACCTGGGCCGTGGATCCGTCTTGTGGCTTCAGCTTTGAGGATATGGCCTATGGGCCCAGGTTGGGTTTGTGAACCTGGATCAAAAGCCAGCTTTGGCTGGTGGGTTGGGCTTATGACCCTAGCTTGGGCTTTGGACCTGGCTGCGGGTAGCCGCTTGTGGACATGCCTGCCGCCTCGCCGTGTGAACGTTGCTGCTTGCGGACCTTGCCCGTGACGCTTGTGGGCCTGGCTGCTCGTGGACCCGGACTCGGCGTTGTGAGGCTTGCTCATGGACCCACCATGGGCTTGTGGACCTGGTTGCTCGTGGGCCTTGCTTGCGGATCCAGCTGCTAATTGCGGCCATGCTTGGCATCAGCCACTGCAAGCAGGCTGCTTGGGAAATTACGGACTTCCACGCGTGGACTCGGCACGTTGTGAACGTGGCTGCTAGCCGACCTGGCAGGAGCTGCAAGTTTGCTGAAGCTGTTTGCTTGACTTGCCCTTAGGTGCCCAGCAGTGTGGACCCACGGCGTGGATTCAACTTCTTGTGGGCCCACCTCATGGGGCCGAACTCCTTGCGGAACTGATTTGTGATCCTGCGCGGAGCTGTGCGAATGGAAGGTGCCGCCCCAGCTTGGGAACGCATAGTTTGATGGAGAGTGCAGACCCAGTTTGCCGACCACTACGGTCTTCCACTTGGCTTGTCAAACATGACGCCTCGTGGGCTTGGCTTGGCTTGTGAGCGTGCGTTCGTGGTGGCCGAACGACCTGTGGGGCTCCATCAACCCAGCCTACGGACACATTCCTTGTGGATTGGGGTGCCCCATGCATGTGGAATTGGAAATTCGTGCGCGAGTGGTCCTTCCCAGGGGCGGCGCAGGCTCCGACCCCTGGCGGTCCCCTCCCTGCGCGGCGTACTGCCGGCCTTCCAATTAAACGAGAACGTAAGCCCCCCCCCCTGGCTGGCAGACCCACGGGCCCGAGTGGCCGCCACCCTCACCTGCGCCATCGTGCCCTTCCGCTTTGAGGAGCTGTTTGCGTCTCGTGCCAGGGCCTGTGCTACGAGTCCTTGCCTCGCCGCCGACGCCAAAAAGAGTGTGTGTGTGTGTGTGGGTGTGTTGCTCTCTCGTCAAGGCCGGGGCGCAAGTATCCAGCGAGCTTCTGCTTACTCGCAGCCCCCGTGGCATGGGGACGGAGTCGGGAAGGAACTCTTTTGCCTCTAAGTCCCAGGCGGCTTCTCTCGTGCTGGCAGCATACGCCTCTTGTGGGGTGCCTCCTGGAGCTGCAGGCCGGCCTGGCCAGGTCCGCGGCGACCCAGGAACGGTCGCCAGGAGCATTGGCCAGGCACAACCCCCAGACCCCCGACGTTCTGACTCATCCGTGGCGCGGGCCACCAGAGGTCCACGTTCTCCCTGCTGCGCTCCTCGAGCCGCATCGCTCTGTGCTGGCCCCGGGGCCCGAGACTCGGCGCACGCGCCCGCCGTGACGAGCTTCGGCGGCGAGCGAGGGGGGGAAGTGAGAAGGAGAAGGCCTTCTCTCAAGACGGAGAAAACACACAGACACACTGAATCGTCGAATCCCAAGAAAATATGGGAAAATATGGAAAGTGGGGGGGAAGACAAAAACCCTGAAAATATAGGAAAAGATGGGGAATCCTGTTATTTGTGTGTATTTATTTGTGTGTTTGTGGGCCCCTTCATTCTCAGAAGACTTGGCGCCCTCTGAGCCGTGTTCCGCGCCTTCGGGAGAGACCTCTCAGAAGGCCAGGGGGGCCTTCCGAGTCTTCCGAGAAGGCCCGCTCCCTTCCCCCCCTCGCTCGCCCCCGAGAACAGGCAACGCCCGGAGCTCACGGCCCCCCTCTGCTGTCCGAGGCGGCGCTTGGCTCCGCGGGTGCCTTCGCCGGCGCAGGGCCCGCCCCCGGCGCGCCCTGCGGGCCACCGGGCGCCGGGCGGCCCCTCGGCGTGGGCGGCCCCGCGCAGGTGACGCCCAGGCCCACGGGCGTCCCTCGGCACGGAGGTGCGGTCGGGGTGAGGACCAGCGGGGCGACGAGAAGTTTCAGGAGGGACAAAACACGCTGACACAATGAACCGTCGATCCCCAGGAGAAGATGGGAAAATCTGGGAAGCAGAGGGGAAGACGGACACCAAGAACATATTTAAAAAAGTGGAATCTTGGGATTTGTGTGTAGTTGTTTGTGTGTCCGTGGGCCCCTTCAGAGTTTTCGGGCGTTTTCGTAGGCTCTCGGCAGGTTTCCAGCCTTAGGACGCGTTTCAGCAGCTGCGCCTCGCCGAAAACGTTCCGGGGATGCCCGGATCGTCCCGAACGGCCGCCAGAAAGCCGGGTTTGGGCGCGAAAAGCAGACGACGAGGATCCTTGGGATGATACAATGGAGACCCATACCAAGAAACACCTTGCTTGCCTCCAGGGTGCCCTGAGTTTCTTGGGTTTCGATGGCTTTGCCATGGAAATTGTGACGTTATGGACGTTCTGGGGTCTCAGGGTTGGGTTTCTTGTGGAAGGTTTCTGGTGGACTGGCCTACACTCTAGCCCCACCAACCTGCCCAGGAGCGTGCTGGTTCGCTATCGGAGGGCTATTGCCGATATATCGGCGATGCATCGCCGATTCCAGGTCGATCGAAGACGCCTACGGCGAATCAACACCGCTCCCTGCCTTTGGGAATCGCCCATGTCGCCGAGCTTTGTGGCAAGAGCTCTGCCAAGCTATCGGACCATGTGTTTCCCCAGCCGTTGTAGAAACCCTTCGGGGAACACTTGGGGGAGGATGGCGGGGAAGATCAGGAGGAGGAAGAGGAGCAGGAGGAGGAGGAGGAGGCATCTTGGAAGCCTCTGGGGGCACGCTTGAGGCCTCCTGGGAGCTTCCTGGGTGCCTCTTGGGGGCTTTGGGCGGCTTCTCGGAGGCCTCTTTGGCCGTCTTGGGGCGTTCCTGGCCCGTCTGACGCCGTCGGAAGCCGTCCTGGGGGCCTCTCTGGGCCGTCTTGGGGCCCGAGTGGGGTGTTGCAGGGCCGTCTTAGAGGCCATCTAGGGCATCTTAACAGCCTCTCTGGCCGTCTTGGGGCCCTCTTGGGACCGTCTTGGGGGCTTATTGGGCCGTTCTGGTTTATAGTGCCATCTTGGAGGCCTCTTGGGCGATCTTGGTGCGATCTTGGCGGGTTCTGGCGCCGTCTCGGGCCGTCGGGAGGCCGAAAAGAAGCAAATGCCAAATCCTTCAAAAAACCAAATGATAATCAATGATTTGGGCATCTTCGGGCCTTCGCAGAGGCCCTCTTGGGGGCCAGTGTAAACCCAAGACCCATCAACGATGTTGCAATAAACCCTCCCTCCAAGCTTTCTGTTTATAGGCCCACTACGAGGATTCATTTTCACTGAAGGAAGTGCCCCGTTGGAAAACAACAGTGACTTCAACGCCGCGAATCACCGTTACGGTTGCGCCTTGGCGATTCTGAATCGTGCCAGAACACCGTGCCTAGGACTTCAACACCACGAATCAACGCAACAGTTGCGCCCTGACAGTCCGACACACGGCCGGAACACCATTTCTGGGACAGTTACCATGGGAATCCATGAAATGTTGTGAACTCTTGAAAACGGATGCGTGCGGCGCTACGGCGAGGGCCACATTTTGAAAAGGACCCGCCCTCCATCCATGAAGTGGCTGCAGTGTGTTATGACGAATGTGCGCGGCGCCAGGGCGAGAGCCACAATTAGAAAAGAAGCCGCCCTCTATCCGTGAAATGTCTGCACTTGTGCGAGACAAATGCGCGCGGTGCTGAGGCGAGAGCCACATGTTTAAAACGAACTAACCCCAAGCCGTGAAGCTCCTGCAAGTGTTTAAGAGGCGAGGGGCACATCGCTAAGGCGCTAAGGCGCTAAGGCCTAAGGCGCTAAGGCGAGAGGCACATCCGCCCTCGATCCGTGAAGCTCTTGCAAACTCGAAGAATCAGGATCACAAGCGGCAAGGAAGTCCCAGGCGAAGCGCCCAAACCGCATTTCCGACTGGCCTCGGTGCGCAGCAGGGAGGAATTATTCACAGGGAAGAGGAATGGAGGAGGAGGAAGAGGAGGAGGAGGAGGGGAAGAGGAAGGAGGAGGAGGAGGATTGCGCAGGCGGAGGGGGGGCAGCAGCGACAGCGGGATGGGCAGCCCAGGGGGCCCGCCGCTGGCGCGCTGCTCGCGGCCGCGGAGCAGGTGGCAGGAGGCGCAGAAACACGGAATCGTCTGCGCCGACATTGGCGCGTAAGTTGCCCATGTAAGGGCCCCCAGCAGGCAGGAGGAGGAGGAGGAGGAGGAGGAGGAGGAGGAGGAGAAGGAGGAGGAGGGGGCGGAGGAGGAGGAGGAGGAGGAGCAAGAGGAGGAGGAGGAGGAGGCGGCGGCGACGGCGGAGGAGGAGGAGGCGGAGGAGGAGGAAAAAGAGGAGAAGGATGAGAAACAGACGAAAGGGCAGGAGGAGGAGGAGTAAGCCTCCCGTCCCCATTTCTTCACGACGCGGGCATGTTTGAGAAGTAAACTGCCCGAGGTCGTCGTCGCCGACATGGGCGCGACAGTTGCCCGCGTGAGCCGCCGACGAAAGGCCTGACACACTGTCCATGCCCTAAGTCTTCGAAAGGTCTTTGATTTTGGGGGGGGGCCAAGATCCTTTCATTTCTGATTGTTCTATCCTGGGCCTCTTCCTGGCCACTAGGGGTCCAGGAAGAATTAGAAACGAGCACAATCAGAAATGAGCACGATTAGAATTGTTTCACGGCGCGGACATGTCTGGGATCGTACCATGACACCGCGCATGCCCCAGTAGGACCCGGCTCGTGTAGTCGTTCCGAGTGAGCGAGCAGGAGGGCGTTTGTGGAGACATTGGCGCGTGAGCTGCCCGCGTAAGGTCGCGCGTAAATGCCCTCGCTTTCATTGCAGCATGCCGCGCTCGCGGCCCGCGCAGGCCGCCGCGCAAGGTCGCTGCGCCATTTCGCGCAAGACCCGTTTTTGATCATCGCCCAGGTGGCAGCAGGCGCCGGCGAGCCTAGGCGGGGGCCGTTGGGCTCCAGGACGCGCGGGGCGCTGCTGACCCAGACCGCCTGAGTCATGTTTTATGTTATTTTCTGCCTCCGGGGGCATTGACGATTTCCTCGGGACCTTCAAATCAACAACGACGAAGGAGGAAAGACTCGTCCTGGGTAATGGGTCGAGACCTCTGGGGGTCGACGTCTTGAAAAAGTCATGACGTCGGGGGTCTGGGGGGGGTAGGCTTAGGTGGGGTGTGTGTGTGTGGGGGGGGGAATTTCGGGTTCGAGGTTCGTGGTTTTCTCGCGTATTCGGCCGTTCTCGGCAGAATCGTGACGTCGGGGGCCTGGCGGGGAGTAGGATTAGGGGTGGGGACGGTTCGGTTTCGAGGTTCACGGTTTTCTGGCGTTTTCAGTTCTTCGGCAGAATCATGACGTGGGGAGGTCCGGGAGGGTAGGCTTAGGGGGATCGTTTCGGGTTCGAGGTTCGAGGTTTTCCAGTGTTTTCGCTTGTTCTCGGCAGGGGGTCTGGCGGGGTAGGCTTGGAGGGGGGGACGTTTCACGCTCGAGGTTTGAGGTTTTCGGCGTGTTCGCCTGTTCTCGGCGGAATCGTCACGTCGGGTGCCCGGGGGGGGGGGGAGGCTTAGGAGGGAAAGGCGTTTCAGCTTTGCGGTTCGAGGTTTTCTGGCGTTTTCGCTTGCTCCTGGCAGAATCGTGCAGTCGGGATCTTAGGGAGGGGTAGGCATAGGGGCTCTCGGGTTCGACGTTGAACATTATCCAGCGTTTTCGCTTGTTCTCGGCAGAATCGTGACGTCAGGGGTCCGAGGCGGGTAGGCTTAGGGAGGGAAGTGTCGGTTCGAGCTTTTCCGGCGTTCCCGGTTGTTCTCGGCAGACTCATGACGTCGGGGGTTTTTGGGAGCTCAGCGTAGGGGGGGGGGGGGGGGCGACGTTTCGCGCTCGAGGTTCGTGGTTTTCCGACCTCTTCGCTCGTTCTCGGCAGAATTGTGACGTCGGGGGCCTGAGCGGGGTAGGCTTGGGGGGGTGGCCGCCTCGGGCTCGAGGTTCGCAGCCTTCCGGCATTCTCGTCTGCTCTCGGCAGAATCGTGACGTCGGGGGCCTTGGGGGGCTTAGGAGTGTGAGGGTGTCGATTTCGAGGTTCGAGGTGTTCCAGCGTTTCGGGTTGTTCTCGGCAGAATCATGACGTCGGGGGGTCCGCGGGTTTTCGCTTGTTCTCGGCAAGGTGTCTTGGGGGGCCAGGCTTCAGAGAGGGGGCGTTTCGGGCTAGAGGTTCGGGTTTCAGCATTTTCGCTTGTTCTCGGCAGAATCGTGACGTCGGGGGCCTGGGGGGTACGCTTGGGGGGGCGACGTTTCAGCTTCGAGGTTTGAGGTGTTCTAGCATTTTCGGTTGCTCTCGGCAGACTCATGACGTCGGGAGCCCGGGGAGGGGTCGGGTTCGAGGCTCGCGGTTTTCCGCTGTCTTCTTCTGTTCTCAGCAGAATCATGACGTCGGGGGCAATGCGAGGGCTTAGGGGCGGGGAAGGGTCGGGTTCGAGGTTCGAGGTTCGAGGTTTTCCGGCGTTCTCGGTTGTTGTCGGTGGAATCATGACGTCGGGGGTCCGGGGGGGGGTAGGCTTGTGGGGGAAGACGTTTCGTGCTTGAGGTTCGCGGTGTTCAATGTGTCCGCCCGTTCTCGGCAGAATTGTGACGTCGGGTGATTTGGGCGAGGTAGGCTTACGGGGAGGGGAGACGTTTCGGCTTCGAGGTTCGCGGCCTTCTGGCGTTTTCGTTTGGTCACGTCCGCGGACGACATTGTGCACCGTACCGCGTTCGTGCCTCTCGAGGCGTTGTTGATCCTCGACCCAGGAACGGTACGGTGCGTAGTTTTTCGGTTCCCAGCGCCGAAACAATTATGCACCGCACCGCGCTGGAGCGGGGCCTGAAGAGAGTCCAGACATGGTACGGTGGATGGGCGCCGCTCTCGTATCACGCACACGCCCGTGCACACACGCACACGCGCACGCGCACACGCACGCGCAAACGCACACGCACACGCACGCGCACGCGCACGCGACCTGGCTCCCCTGGCCGCGTACGCGCACGAGCGCCCGGGGGCCTGGGGAAGCGCGCGGGCGCGGGCAGCACGAGGGGGGCCTTCGAGTGCTGGCGCGGGCGCAAGAGCATGCAGAGATGGCCTGACCGCCGAGGGGAGCTGGGAGCAGGAGGTCGCCATGGGGGAAGCGGGTCCTGAGGGGAACGGGTCCTGAGGTTTTTCGCCGTTTTCGGGCTCCTCGGGCCCCCTCTGCTCAACGGGTCCTGAGAGCTTTCGCGATTCTCGGACTCTCGGGGCCCTCCATGGGCCCCAGGACCACCAAACAACGATTCAGGATGAAGATCTCGTGCTGCGGGAAGGCCCCGGAGTGCAGGACCCGTTTCCCTCAGGATCCCTTTCCCCCATGCTAGAGATCGGCGGCGAGCGAGGAGAGGAGGTGAGAAGGGGCGGTCCTTCTCAGAAGGCTCGGAAGTCCCCCGGCCTTCTGAGAAGTCCCGGACGGCATAGAGAACTTCTCAGAAGGTCCAGGGGTTTATGAGAAGCCCCGCCGCCTCTTGAGAAGGCCCTCTCCTTCTCATTTCCCCGTCTCGCCCGCCGCCGACCACAAGTGGGTTGCAAGTGCTCCTCATGGCGCATAGGGCGGTGGTAACTCCGCTATCTGGGCGGAGCCCACCTAGCCCAGATCACTAAGCCAGCTAACGAGTGGCTTACAAATGCCCTAAGTGGCTTAATGATCTGGGCTTGATGGGCGCCGCCCACTTAGCGAAGTTACCTAGCTCCCCTGCGCCACTTCGGTCACGTGTAAGCAACTGATTAGCCAGATTCGTCCAGACATAATCCACCTTGGCAGTGGGCTCCCGCCCACCCGCCTTGCTCTTGATACGCTCGTCATGCTGGACGTCTGTCAGCGCCTCGCCCCCCTCCAGCCCGCAGGAGGGCCGCGCCAGAGGAGTGGCCGCCGCTGGACGCCCTGGACCAGAGGATCGCGAGCCTGCAGGGCAAGCTCGGGCTCTCAGAGAGGACAGCTGCCCCTCCGCCATTTCCTGTTCACTCTCCTCTTAATCCTTCTCTTTCTCCTCCTCCTCCTCCTCCTCCTCCTCCTCCTCTTCCTCCTCCTCGTCCGCCTCTGCCCCCTACGCCTAATCCTCCTCCTCCTCCTCCTCCACCTCCCCTCCTCCTCCCTCCCTCATCCTCACCCTCCTCCCCTCCCTCCTCCACCCTCCCTCCCCTCCCTCCTCCTTCTCCTCCTCCTCCTCCTCCTCATCATCATCATCATCCTCATCCTCTTCCCCCTCGACCCATCCCTCATCCTGCTCCCTCACGCTGCTTTCGCTCCTCCCCCTCCTCCTCCTCCTCCTCCTTCTCCTCCTCCTCCTCTTCCTCCTCCTCCTCCTCCTCCTCCTCTCCGCCTCCTCCTCCTCCTCCTCCTCCTCCTCCTCTTCCTCCTCCTCCTCCTCCTCCTCCTCCTCCTCCTACGCCTCTCTCTATCTCTCTCTCTCTCTCTCTTTCTCTCTCTCTCTCTCTCCGCAGCCGCTGAACGCCGTGCCCACCGGGCCGCTCCGCGCCCGCCGCGCGCGCGCATGCGGGGCCAGGGCGGCCCACCCGTTCTGGAGAGGGGGAAAGTGGAAGGGGGGGGCCCCCATCCGTGCTTGTCCACCGCCCGTGACCGGAGGCCGTCGAGAGGAAGGGAGGTCTGTTGAGCGGCGGGGCCGCGCAGCCGAGGAAAGTGTGCCCTACCGAAGACGGCGTGCCTTGCGAGTAACCTTTGTACCCGCCGCATCTTGCCTGTAGCGCCGTCTACGATGAAGGTCGTAGGCAAACGGTCGTATCGTACACGGTGTCCGTAGCGGAATACCGACGCACGGTTCTGGATAGGAATCCGTTGAGGTAGTGGTTTAGTCGTCCTCTCCTTGGGTGTACCCACGCGCTCGCTTCGCGCACCCGCGCAGCATCGTCTGAGGGATGCGCTTGTTATGGTACCCCGTCGGGGAGGGTAGGTTTTCGGTCTTGTAGCACTCCTGTGTGATCGGGTTCCTCTGCTGGTTTAGCAAGTCTACGAAGTATTTGGTGCCGCCTCGGAGGGTAGGCTAGTAGCGTAGTTGCAGCTCACATGCCAGATCGCAGTCGTTGCAGTTGAACGTAGTGAATGTTTACATGCGTGTACTGGTCCGCGGGTAGGTCGCATTGCTGGCAGAAGAGTTTCACAACGATCGCCTGGTTGAGGTTGCCTACAGTAGGTAGTCCTGGATCAATGTCCGGCGCTACGTAGTCCTCTTTCTCCGGGTCCCGCGGCATGCAGTACTAGAACGAAAGTGCAGTATCGCACGGGTGCGACTCCTCCATACTATAGTTATTACAAGCATGCCAGTCTCCATCTCGCATGGTTTGTGGTAGGTCTTGTCCATTGTGTGGCCCCTGGAGACGGCCATCGCTTGTAACTTCGGGAGGATACTTGTTGCATGGCTCTGCGTACGTCCATACGGTTGTCCCAGAGGTCACTGAAGTGATGGCGTAGTTTAGCTTTGATGTCGCTGATCCTCCAGTATCAGTTGTCGTCATCTTTTGGGGATACCTGTTGCAACGAGCTGTATCAATGTGTTTTGGTTGTGTAAGGCACGTAGCCAGACCCCTGTCTCTGCTGCTAGTAGCTGTACCCCTGGTTAGTCGTCCTCGATGTGTTGGCAATTCGCAACGTGCATGTTGCATGCGATGTGCATATACACAGGCTGTACTTGAGTAAGTTGTTGCAAAATAGTACCGTGCGAGCCCGACTAAGAAGTATTGATGTTCGACTGGTATTGGCAACGTAGTTAAAGCATGGCGAAACGATGTGGGGTAGGCAGGTAGGTGGGTGTCCAGATGCACATGTAGCGAGAACGGCGTCCTCGTGGCTGCCCTGTGGTATGTGCATTCACGTACACGCTAAGCCGCGTATTGCCAGTATTGCCGTAATGATGGGGGGGGAGGAGTGGAGCATCCTTGTAAAACAATTATGGTTTGCCCAGGTAAGCGGTCAGGAGATGCGTCTCTAGCACTCGGCGCCGTCGCCGTGGGCCCGGCGGGCTCACCCAGGATTGCTTGTAGCGCTTACCTCGGTGGATGGCGTTCTCGGTGTCCTCGACGTCCTCGTCGTTACTGTTGTCCTTGTTGCCCTCTGTTGTCCTTGTCATTGTCGTCGCCCTCGAACTCCACGGGCATTCCGTCGTAGCACCCCACGTTGTCATACTGAACGTCCTTTCCCTCGAGCTTCGCAGAGGCCTCCGAGGCGCAGTGGGTGCCGAGGGTGCTGCCCAGAAAACGCGCGAGGTCGTAGTCCACGCCGCAGCCCGTCGCGTCCGTCCACTCGCCCTCCTCGATGCCCGCGCCGAGCTCATCGCGCATGCGGAGGTAGCAGTAGGCTTCGCTGGTGCGGAAAGGGGTTGTACTGGAGGTAAGCCACCGTCGGCTCGCGGTCGCCCTTGGCGCAGTAGACAGCAGATGCACCCGGCGATCTGGTCCAGGTACTTGGTCTCGCAGTTGCATTTGTTCTGGAATAGTTTGGCCTGCAAGCTATTCTTGAGTAGACCAACGTTTATCTTGCCGGCCGTAGGGACTTCCTTGCAGTTTCTATTCGAGGCGCTATTGCTCCATATCCCGACGAACATCGAACATCCAGCCACCCCAATTTGGAGGGCGAGATGTGCGTCAACATGGGAGCCACTGGAAACAAGGGCCTTACTTACATGCAAGGAAGCCAACATGATCAGCGTTGACCAATGCATGTTCGACTGTCGCAGTGGAAAATCGACGACACTGTTGCGCGTGAACCTACCAATGGCCCTTTCTATACTTGCACGAATTGAAAATCAGGGACGCCGCAATCAGCGAGAAGGCCACTCTGCCGCATTGGACTACGACCGCACAGCAGGGAATGTCAGAACGGCGCCGCTCAAGGAACACCCGCCCAAGCTCTGCGCCTTCATAAGTAGCCTCGACGAAGATGCATGGGATACGCTACCACAACCTGGAGAAACCCCGGACTACGCCCACAAGCAGTTCGTGAGATTCTGCATGAAAGTGGACGTACAAGGCAGCATGCAACCTGACTTTGCAGGCCGTACGGCAGAACACCACGTGCCTGAGATACCGCCTTCGGACATACACGACAACAAGGAAGAGCCTTACACACCTACAGGAATCGCGGATAAAGAATTACAGCAACAAGCATAGTCTACACATCATTCACCAACAGGTGATTGTCCAACGTCAGTATGGTGCGAGCTATGGATGCTAGAATAACCATTTCAGTAAGCGTAAAGATAAGTACGCGACCGGCAACATCATCTCCGCCATCGCCTACCCAGCCTGCCTGCAGGTTGGCCTTCGGGCGATTCCAAGCTTGCTTGGTGCAGGTAGTCGGGCACCACTGGTGTGTTTGCGGGGGGGGGGGGGGGGCGAAAAAAATCAAAGAACAAAAAACGAAACACGTATATCATTACACCTCCGCGGGATGCCGCCTGACGGGCCTGCGTGGCGCACACAGCACGGACAATCAAAAAGCAGCTGCCTGCCCGGCTCGCGCACCGCCCTGCGGCCCCGGGCCGCACCCGCTGCCACGGGCCTTCTGCCCGTGGACTTCCGCGAGAGAGCGCCGACGCAGGAGGGCGGCACGCACGACGTCGCCAATTGCGCAAAGCCGTCGTAGATTCAAGTCGGGCCTGTCCCTCTACAGGAGGAGCATCGAAAAATAGTAAGAAAATAGTCTGGGCACGATGGTTCGACGATGGTTGATCATTCGATTGGTATGTTTTGGATATTTGTTGCTTGTCGTCCAGAAACCGCCTGTTGGGGGGGCATGCCCGACCTAATCGTAGATGGAGGTGGGCATCTGCGACGCCCACTCTACTTCACCGCCGTCTGCGACACCACAGCAGACCAACAAGTGGATCCAGATACTGGTCGAGGTTTGCACGGCCAAGCACATGAATTGAAACAACACCAGGGAGGTGTTCAGCCGCATCCGCGACACGGAAGGTGCGGCGAAGCACCAGGTGGAAAAGTGCCAGTACAAATGATTGACATTCTGCAAGGACAGCGGGGACTACCAGGAGGGCATGCACTCGATGGACAGGCATAAAGGAGCCAGACATAGCGAGGACTACGATCTGGTGCTGCTCAACCTGGTACATGACGAGGACTACCAACTCCTCCTCCTCCTCCTTCTCCCCTCCTCTTCCCCATGATCAATATCACCAGTATCGTCATCATCATCATCATCATCATCATCACCATCATCATCAGCAACATCATCATCAGCATCATCATCAGCATCAGCATCATCATCCTCATCAGCATTATCATCATCAGCATCATCATCATCAGCATCATGATCCTAATTCCCATATATTCTCCCCACTTCCTCCCATCCACCTTCTCATCATCCTGGTTATCCTCCCATCCCTGCCCCTTCCCCTTCTCTTGCTTCTCATTTGATCCATCATTATCCCTCCTCTTGCTTCGGTTCATGATGTTTCTCCGCCTCCGCATACCATATCGTCGCCGTCCTTGTTTTCCTCCCCCATCACCACCGTCTTGCACAGGAGAGTAACTGAGCAAGGCAATGGCAGCACTTGTCTTGCGCGTCGTACCCTGGCAGGCTAGTGACCGCACGCGTCGGAGACATCGGTTTGGCTCCTTTGAGTTGCGGCTCGTTTGTCGGAGACTCCCCCGCGTCCTCCGCGGGAGGGGCGGCAGGAGAAGGCGGAGGCTGATAATGATGAGGAGGAGGAGCGCACGACGAGTCAGTCGATGACCCCGAGTTGTTCAGTCAAGTTCGGGGAGTGGGGGAGGAGGAGGAAAAGGAGGAGGAGGAAAAGGAAAAGGAGGAGGAGGAGGGGGAATGGGAGGTTCTTTGCGGGCGTGGAGGGCGCAGGAGCACCACCACCATCACCGCCACCACCCTCACCGGCCTCATCGCTCAGCGGCCCTGGCACGCCTGTGCTATGCTAAAGCGCAGCACGAGCCTTGCTCAAAACGTCAGGCCTGCATGCGCTGCGCGCTTGATCGGCGCGGACTGTGTTCAGGACGTCAGGCTTGAGTACGCTGCGCGTTGGATCGGCACGCGTTGGCCCAAGTTCTGGCGGACGCATCGCGCCAATACCACGGTTTCAAACCATGTGCTATGTTCCGTGTCAATGCGCTACGGGATCGTGGCAGGTACGGTGAGGGGTGGAAGGATAGCGTGCAACGAGGCGGCGTTGGCCCGTCTATTTCACGCTACCCTCCGCTTCGAGGATAGCGTGCATCGAAGAAGCCCTGGCAGGGGGGCATCGCGGACTGAAAAGGCCTGCGCGGGGGGATCGCTTCACAGGGATAGCGCGCCCTTCGGATATCTATGCCGCACGCCCTCCCCGCCGCCAACCGCAAGACGCCACCACCACCAGAGTGGCCTCGGGCTCCCCGCAGCGGCGCCCCCAGAGGTGGCTCCCCAGCGGGGCTCCGCGCCGAGCCCGCCCCAGCACTCGGCGGTCACGAGAGTGGCGAACAGCCCAGGGGGACCCAGTACGCGTGAGGCGTTCCAACAAGAGCCCTGCCTTCGAGGATCCGAAGGAGCTGTCATCTCCTCCTGGGCGGAAGGCGCCAGAAGTAAAACGGCGGTGGCGCCGCCGGCGGAAGCAAAAGTCGACCTCCCAAGTGATGGCAACATGTTTGGGCTCAGGGTTCCCAGAATCGGCCATGCATCCAAGGGAGTCAAAGAGCCACGTCTTCGGCGAGGCTTCCGTAGGGAGACGTGTGATGCCCGCCCCTGGGCTATTCGCCCCTACCTCGAAGAAAAAACACACACACACACACATACACACACACAAACATAAGCTTTTGGCGCTCCGCGCGGATTTCTTGGATCCGCGCCTGGGCCCCCCCCGGCGGCGCCTCCGGCGCCGCCCCTGGCGCGCTCCGCGCGCGCCAGGGACGGGGGGCCCAGCGCGGATCCAAGAAATCCGCGCGGAGCGCCACAAGTTTGTATTCACAGCGTTCTTTCTTCTGGTGATGCCCGCCCCTGGGCTGTTCGCCCCTACCGTTCAGTCGGGCCTGTCCTCCTACAGGGGAATTTTCCACGAAAAATATTATCCCGGCAAAGCAACCTAACAGCGATGTAGGAGCATATCTGGAAGCATCCCCCTTAAGATTCAGATGAGAATTCAGTTGTAGAGTTCTGCTGTTCTCGCAGTCGTAGTCGCATTCGCGATGACAGCCGCAGTGGCCTGCATTAGCCTCAGCCTCAGCCTCAGCCTGCCTCAGCATCAGCCTCAGCCTCAGCTTCAGCCTGCCTCAGCCTCAGCCTCAGCCTGCTCCTGCATCAGCCTCAGTCTGCCTGCAGCCTCGGCCTCAGCCTCAGCCTCAGCCTCATCAGCCTCAGCCTCAGCCTCAGCCTGCCTCAGCATCAGCCTGCCTCAGCCTCAGCCTCAGCCTGCCTCAGCCTCAGCCTCAGCCTGCTTCAGCCTCAGCCTCAGTCTGCCTTCAGCCTCGGCCTCAGCCTCAGCCTGCCTCAGCCTCAGCCTGCATCAGCCTCAGCCTCAGCCTCAGCCTGCCTCAGCATCAGCCTGCCTCAGCCTCAGCCTGCCTTCAGCCTCAGCCTCAGCCTCAGCCTCAGTGCCTTCAGCCTCGGCCTCGGCCTCGGCCTCAGCCTCAGCCTCAGCCTGCATGAGCCTCAGCCTCGGCCTCAGCCAGGCTCAGCATCAGCCTGCCTCAGCCTCAGCCTCAGCCTGCCTCAGCCTCAGCCTCAGCCTGCTTCAGCCTCAGCCTCAGTCTGCCTTCGGCCTCGGCCTCAGCCTCAGGCTGCCTCAGCCTCGGCCTGCATCAGCCTCGGCCTCAGCCTCAGCCTGCCTCAGCATCAGCCTGCCTCAGCCTCAGCCTCAGCCTGCCTCTGCCTCTGCCTCAGCCTGCTTCAGCCTCAGCCTCAGTCTGCCTTCAGCCTCGGCTTCAGTCCTCAGCCTGCCTCTGCCTCAGCCTGCATCAGCCTCAGCCTCAGCCTCAGCCTCGCCTGCCTCAGCCTCAGCCTCAGCCTCAGCCTGCCTCAGCCTCAGCCTCAGCCTGCTTCAGCCTCAGCCTCAGTCTGCCTTCAGCCTCAGCCTCAGCCTCAGCCTGCCTCAGCCTCAGCCTCAGCCTCAGCCTCAGCCTCAGCCTCAGCCTCAGCCTCAGCTCAGCCTCAGCCTCTGCCTTCAGCTCGGCCTCAGCCTCAGCCTGCCTCAGCCTCAGCCTCATCAGCCTCAGCCTCAGCCTCAGCCTGCCTCAGCCTCAGCCTGCATCAGCCTCAGCCTGCCAGCCTCAGCCTCAGCCTGCATCAGCCTCAGCCTCAGTCTGCCTTCAGCCTCGGCCTCAGCCTCAGCCTGCCTCAGCCTGCCTCAGCCTCAGCATCAGCCTGCCTCAGCATTCAAAATGTGGCCAGGGAATGGAATTCTGGGAACTCGAAGAACACGAAGTGGCCTACAGTTTGCTCCGGGCATTCAAAATCATGCCCAGGAATGGAGTTCTGGGAAGTCCAAGAGCACGAAGTGGCCTACAGTTGGCTCCGGGCATCCAAAATGTGGCCCGGGAATGGAGTTCTGGGAACTCGAAGACCACGAAGTGGCCTACAGTTGGCTCCAGGCATCCAAAATGTGGCCCGGGAATGGAGTTCTGGGAACTCGAAGACCACGAAGTGGCCTACAGTTGTTCCGGGCATCCAAAATGTACGCCGGGAATGGAGTTCTGGGAACTCGAAGACCACGAAGTGGCCTACAGTTGACTCCGGGCATCCAAAATGTACGCCGGGAATGGAGTTCTAGCAGCGCCAAGAGCGATTTTGCGAGGATGTCCCAGGCGATTTGGGCTTCGGCGGCAGCCGCCCCGGGTCCCGCCCCGACCCCTCTGAGGAGTCATGATGTTCTCTTTTGACCCCACTGGAAACCTATTAGTTTTTGCTGTTAGGTAAAAAATAAAAAAATCCAAAAATTAGTCTGGGGACTATTTTGTTGACTATTGTTTGGCCTTTTGGGGGCATTTTTTTAGTATTTTTTATTTTCGTCGAAAATCCCCCTGTATGGGGGGCGGGCCCGACTTAACCCTACCGCCACCGCCGAAGCACGCGGGCGCCCGAGAGCCGCCGCGCGCCCGCGGGCGGCGCGGCAGCGCCACCACCGCGCGGCCCAGGGGAGCACCGTGGAGCGGCCCGACCAGGCGCACGGGTCGCCGGCGCGCGGCTCGGCTGGGCCCAGCCGCGCGCGGCCTCGGGCCACGTGGGTTGAGTCGGGCATGTTCCTCTTCGGTACAGCCAGGGTGATGATGCTCCAACCTACTGCAGCCTTGATTGCCATCAAGAATCTCGAGCGCCAAGAAAAGTACCGGAACCCAAGGGCATTCACGTGTCGGGCCCTGGGAGGCACTCGCCCGACACTGCTTCGACACTCTTTCGGCACTTTTCCGGGTGCTCGAACTTATTTCTGGGATTGGGTCCTTAAGTAGGATGGGAACAACATAAAGCCAGGACCCCAGGTAAGGAGACCCGCTTAGCAGCAGGGCCCCAGGGCCCCAGGGCCCCTGGATTGGCCAGAGTTACTAAACCAGGTCTGCCGTAGCTGGTGTTTTTTCGGGTGACGGCAGTTCCGGTGAGTGGAACGGGGCGGGGGGGCGTCCCCCACAAAACCAGGTGCCATTCAACCCAGTTCTGCCATCGCCCGACCTCTACAGGGCGAATATCAAAAATGGTTAAAAAAATAGTCGGGGGACGATTTTCCCATTATTTGTTTTGAATATTTCACGCCACGGTCGCCCCCGCGCCCTGGTCCGGCGCGCGTGGCTGCTGTCGCCAGCCGGCTGCTCATCGTCGAATTATTCGGCGTCTGAGCGTCCCTCCTGCCTCGTCGGCTTCTCCCTTCCCTCCTCGCACGCTGGCCAATTCGCTATTAGTGCCCCTACTTAGCTGTTACGCTGGTGCAGATTTCGCCGCCTCGCCGATTACGAAAAAAGTGTTGCATACTTGTTGGTTACTTATAATTATCGTCCAAAATCTGCCTGTAGGGGGACATGCCCGACCTAACGCTTGGATCATCGCGGAAGTCCCCGCGCATGCGGCGAGGTTTTTGTCGGCACCTTCGGGGAAGACTTAAAAAGACTCGTGATAAGGCCAGGGGGCTTCCGAGCCTTCTGAGAAGGCCCGCCCCCTCTCATTTCCCCCCTCCCGCTCGCCGCCGACGGACGGGGCGTGTCCGCGCGTGGCGTGTCCGCGCGGATTTCCAAGCCCTCTGAAAACGCCTTCCTCCTCCTCCTCCTCGTCCTCCTCCTCCTTCCCCTGCTCTTCCTCCTCCTCCCCCTCCTCCCCCTTCTCCTCCTCCTCTTCCTCCTGGGCTCGCCGCCGAGCGTGGGTTCCGGAGTGCGCCCGGGAGGCAGCAGGCCCTGGGAGGAGTCCTTTTCCGAGGAGGCCCGGACATCTATCCATGGCCAGGCTTTCGCAATACAGATTGGGAAGTACCCATCGGTCGTTGAAAGTATACGCATATAGATACATATGTAAAGTGTGCAGCGGCTGCCCCCCCTCTCCTCTCTCCCTCTCCCCTCCTGCCTGCTTCTTCGCCACAGGGCCCCCTTATGCGCTTGTAAAAAAGTGCGTGTGTGTATACATAGGACTCCCAGATTCCAGTAGACTTTTTTAAGCGCCTTCCTACTTCAGTGATCGAGTGGCTTCACCTTTCCTGTCACCCTTAGGGGGCGGACGGAGCCCAATATATGTTCAACGCCTTCCTACTTCATGTTTCGACCTACTTCTTCCGACCGATGGGTATCGAACGGGAACCCTTGTCACCGTGTCTGGGCCTCCACCAGCTTGCGTGAATTGCGGAAGTCTCGAGCGGGAGCGCCGCTCTTGAGTTCGGGGGCCTCTCTTGCCAGAGCCTCTAGGAAAACATTTTGAGGAAGTATCCAACGAGATCCCTTGTCGCCGTACATAGTTAGGCCCCCACCAGCTTGATTGAATCACGATAATGTTTCGAGCGAGAGCGCCGTTCCTGAGGTCAGGGGCCTTCAGGGCCAGGGGCCTTCGGAGCAAATCGTGATGAAATATCGAGCAGGAGCCCTTGTCGTCGTGGCTGGGCCTCCGCCAACTTATTTGAATTGTGGGGAAGTCTCGAGCGAAAGCGCCGTGCCTGAGTTTAGCCAGCGCAATCGTTTCCTGAAGTCTGTAATAGTTAGTGTGGTAAATGAATATGCAACAGCAGCAGCAATAACAATACATCAACAACAACACCAAAATCATCATTGTAAGACTGTTCGCTCCTATCTGCTCACGTGCCAGTCAATACGTATATCCCAGACCCTCGGTACCCGCCCTCGTCGTCTTCGATCGTACCCCCTTGGGGGCATCTCTTCCTTACCTGCCACGTGCATTTAATGCAGCCCCTAAGACACGTGATGAGACGACTAGTGGAAGGGGGAGGGCGAAGAACGGAACACGAGAGAAATTAGCAGGAGGGGGGGAAGGAGCAGAAAACAAGTGGTAGAACCAGACGAGCAGATTGGGTGGGCAGACCCATAGCGGGCAGGTCGGGAAGGCGGACCCAGGCGACCAGGTCGAGCCGGCGGGTTGCTGAAGCGTGGGTCGCGCATAAATCGCGAGGAATTCTCGAGCGATAGCGCGATCCCTGCGTAAATCGACAGAAGCCAAAGCGAAAGCGTGATTATTGAGCGCCGGGGGCGCCCCGTCTGAATAAACAACGAGGAAGTCCCACGCGATTGTAAACCAGGGGCCAACAGCACAGTTCGAGCCCCACGACTTTCCCTGGTAAAAAACCGAGTGCGAGCCCCGGGGGAAGCATTTCAATTGAAAAAACATATTTTGGTCACCGGAGGGGTGACCAACAAGAGCTATTCTTCAGTAGTGAGAGCTCAACAGCAAGAACAACAATACGAATGACAACCACAGCAACAACAGTATCAGCATCACATCAGCATCGTCATCCGCGTCGTCGTCATCAGCATCATCATTGCCGTCGACAGCATCATGACCATCGTCATCATCATCACCATCGTCATCCTCATCACCAGCATCATGATCATCATCATCATCATCATCATCATCAGCAGCAGCAGCAGCATCGTCATAGTCATCGTCATCATCGTCGTCGTCGCAATCAGCATTACTAGCATTAGCATCATCGTTAGTATAATCAGAATCCGTGTCCTTATAATCATCATCATTGCCGTCATCATCACCATCATCATCAACATCACAATCATCATCATCATCATCGCCCTCGTCCTCATAATCATCAGCATTGCCGTCATCATCATCAACACCCACATCATCAGCATCACCATCGCCATCATCAGCATCAGCACCCGCATCCTCATCAGCATCATCATCACCGTCGTCATCAGCGCCACCAACATCGTTCATCATAATCATCATCACCAGCATCAATCATTGTCATCATCATCATCAGCATCATCATCGTCATCATCATCATCATCATCGTCATCGTCATCGGCCCCCGTCGCTGTGCACTACAATGTCTCGCGCGCCGCGCAAACTCCTGTCCTTGCCCCTTCTCCCTCCATCGAGCGCGAGGCTGCTCTTCGTGGGCCCCAGCCCGGGGGCCCAGGGGGGGGAGGGGTCAACGGCCGAGTGCGCCGCCGCACCGTGGACGTCAGCGAAGCCCCCAAGAGGCCCCCGAGAAGCTCCCAGAAAGCTCCCAGGAGGCCCCTCCAAGCGCCTGTGCTCGACGAGGTCCAGATGTGCGCTCCGCGAGGCGAGGGGGATCCACGGCTGGACTGCAGAGAAGCGGCGCGGCTGTCTGGAGGTCCACTCCTCCCTCAACGCTTGGAGTGAAGTCAGTTGTCTTAGTTTGTCTCACCCTCAGCAGGGTTGTAGCTGCCCCGCTCGCGCTTCCAGGCAAAATCAAATCACAGCACGCGCTTCCTCGTCAAGCAGCCTGACCGCTGCGGGCCACCCCCATCGGCCCCACGGGCAACTTGGCATGGCTTGGCTCCCGCTCGGAACCCAGGCGTGCGATGCCCTGATGCTGCTCCGCGCGGTGCCCCCAGAAGCTCCGCACCCCTCCCTGGGACCGGCGTTGCCTCCTGCGTCGCTCGTGGACCGCCGCGGGGCCCTCGGGGGCCCCAGACGGCGAAAGACCTCGCGCCCTGACGGCTTGCCGGGGCGCGAGCACGTCTGGGGAGCGCGCGTGGCCAAAGGCCAGGGCAGGATCGCCTGCCTCTCACGCAGGGCGAGGAGATCGATATACGCATCCACTGCTCCTGGCCAGGCCCAATCCTGGGCCCGGGAGCTGTGTAGATGCCTCCTTGGCCAAGCCAGGAGGGCGTATGCACAGCTCCTAGGCTCAGGATGGGCCTGGCTGGCCAGGAGCAGCGGATACGGTAGGTTCATGCGGCGTTGGCGCGTCGGCGACGCCGGCGAGCGCGTTCAAGGTTGATGTCTGTGACGCGGAGGCGCCGAGGGAGGCAGGAACGCCACTGTACCCGACGGAATTCAGCCTTGAACGATCGGTGCCGCGATCGCTTCAGGGTTGAACGATCGATGCGGTGCCCGACACCCTTGCGCGCGCCGACGCCGCGCGAACCTACCGTATGTATAGCTCGTCGCCCCTCTTGCAGTCCCCGTCTCCCTCCCCCCCCCTCTTGGTGCCTCGAGGCGGCCCGTCGATCTCGAGGCCGGCGAGGCCCAGAGCGTCATCGAGGACTTCCTGGCCCGGAGCGCCCCCTCCGAGGCGAGCTCCAGGCAGCTGGGCGGTGAGGGCTCCGATCGGACGGGGCTCGGAGGGGGAGAGGGCACTCCGAGTTTGTTGAGAAGCGTCGGGGGGGGGGCGTCACCCCCGCCGACAGCCCCACATCGACCCCCACCGCGCGCCAAAGGCGCTCCGACCCCCGTCGCGGCGCGACGACGAGGCGAGGCTGACCCCCGTCGGGTGGTACCCCCCCACGCATATTAAGAAACTCGGAGTGCCCATACTGCTACCCTTCGCCCGTTTTCCCTGTTTGGGGCCTCCTGGGAGGCCCTCGTCGCCACAGCTGGATTCGCCCCGATATCCTGGTCCATAGCGCACCCCGGGAGAGGTCCCGGGAGTAGCAGTATCGGTACCTCTTGGTTTCCCCAAGGACAAGGATAAGTCCGTTCCAGAGCGTTCGGGAGTGCTCTCAGAGCGCTCCAGAACGCTCTGAGAAGGCCGCGGCGCCCGAGACATCCTCCAGAGCCGCCGGATCTCAGAGATTCTCGATGTACCCTAGAAAAGAGGAGGAGGAGGAGGAGGAGGAGGAGGAGGAGGAGGAGGAGGAGGAGGAGGAGGAGGAGGAGGAGGAGGAGGAGAAGGAGGAGGAGGAGGAGGAGGAGGAGGAGGAGGAGGAGGGGGGGGAGGAGGAGGAGGAGGAGGGGGAGGGGGAGGGGGAGGGGGGGAGGAGGAGGAAGGGCGCTGTCTCATCAAAAGAAGACCCACAGCCACAGGATGTTTGGGAGTGTTACAGATCCAGAAATTTCCTGTGATGTCGATCCTCGTACCCCGAATCCCCGTCATTCCTTCCTCCCGCCAATCCTACCATTCATTTCTCGCTCTCTCTTCCTCTCTCTCCTCTCCTCGTCGCCCCCCTTTTCCTCCCCCTCCTGAGGAAGCCGAGAGGTACAGATACCGCTACTCCCAGGACCACTCCTGGGGTACGTTCTGACCGGAATTTCGAGGCGAATCCAGCGGTGGCGACGAGGGCCTCCCAGGAGACCCAAAAACGATAAAAAAAGAGAGAGAAAAAGAGAGAGAGAGAGAGAGAGAAAAAATTAAAAAGGGCAGCGGCATTGGTACCTAATCCTCCGACCTCTTGTTCCCTCCCCCGTACTTCCCTTTCCCCCCGCCCCTCCTGTTCTCCAGGCTCCTTCTCTCTCCTGCTCCCGTTTCCCCTTCTCTCCACCACCTTCCCTCCCTCGCAATCTCACCCCTGCGCGATTCGAGGGCGGAGCTGGAGAATGAGGAAGAGTCGTGGTGGTAGTAGAAGTAGACGTAGTAGTAGTAGTAGTAGTAGTAGTAGTAGTAGTAGTAGTAGTAGTAGTAGTAGTAGTAGTCGTAGTAGTCGTAGTAGTCGTAGTAGTCGTAGTAGTCGTAGTAGTCGTAGTAGTCGTAGTCGTAGTCGTAGTCGTAGTCGCGGTAGTCGCAGTAGTGGCAGTAGTCGTAGTCGTAGTAGTCGTTAGTAGTCGTAGTAGTCGTAGGTAGTCGTAGTAGTCGTAGTTGTCGTAGTAGTAGTAGTAGTAGTAGTAGTAGTAGTAGTAGTAGTAGTAGTAGTAGTAGTAGTAGTAGTAGTAGTAGTAGTAGTAGTAGTAGTAGTAGTAGTAGTAGTGTAGTAGTAGTAGTAGTACTACTACTACTACTACTAGTAGCAGCAGTAGTAGTAGTAGTCGTAGTATTCGTAGTAGTCGTAGTAGTCGTAATAGCCGTAGTAGTCGTAGTAGTCGTAGTCGTAGTCGTAGTCGTAGTAGTCGTAGTAGTAGTAGTAGTCGTAGTAGTAGTAGTAGTAGTAGTAGTAGTGGTGGTAGTAGTGGTGGTAGTAGTCGTCGTAGTCGTAGTAGTCGTCGTCGTCGTCGTCGTAGTCGTAGCCGTACGAGTCGTAGTCGTAGTAGTCGCCGTCGTAGAAGTAGTAGTGGTAGTAGTAGTAGTAGTAGTTGTTGTTGAAGTAGTAGCAGTAGTAGTAGTAGTAGTAGTAGTAGTAGTTGTAGTAGTAGTAGTAGTAGTAGTAGTGGTAGTAGTAGCAGTAGCAGTAGCAGTAGCAGTAGTAGTAGTAGTAGTAGTAGTAGTAGTAGTAGTAGTAGTAGTAGTAGTAGTAGTAGTAGTAGTAGTAGTAGTAGTAGTAGTAGTAGTAGTAGTAGTAGTAGTAGTAGTAGTAGTAGTAGTAGTAGTAGTAGTAGTAGTAGTAGTAGTAGTAGTAGTAGTAGTAGTAGTAGTAGTAGTAGTAGTAGTAGTAGTAGTAGTAGTCGTAGTAGTAGTAGTAGTAGTAGTAGTAGTAGTAGTAGTAGTAGTAGTAGTAGTAGTAGTAGTAGTAGTAGTAGTAGTAGTAGTAGTAGTAGTAGTAGTAGTAGTAGTAGTAGTAGTAGTAGTAGTAGTAGTAGTAGTAGTAGTAGTAGTAGTAGTAGTAGTAGTAGTAGTGTAGTAGTAGTAGTAGTAGTAGTAGTAGTAGTAGTAGTAGTAGTAGTAGTAGTAGTAGTAGTAGTAGTAGTAGTAGTAGTAGTAGTAGTAGTAGTAGGAGTAGTAGGAGTAGTAGTAGGAGTAGTAGTAGTAGTAGTAGTAGTAGTAGTAGTTTTAGTATTAGTAGTAGTAGTAGTAGTAGTAGTAGTAGTAGTAGTAGGAGTAGTAGTAGTAGTAGTAGTAGTAGTAGTAGTAGTAGTAGTAGTAGAAGTAGTCGTAGTAGTATTATCAGTAGTAGTAGTCGGAGCACACACTGAGCACGGCACCGAGTACCCCGGAGATCTCCTGAAGGACCTGATGGCTTTCCCTTCTCGCCGGCAGGTGCTCGACACGGTGGTTGAGCAGGCGTCGGCCATACCGGTCGCACCCGAGCGCCTCATTGAGGCAATGGACTCGGCGGGCGAGGCAGAACCGGAGCAGTTCGCACGGAGCGCGCGCCGCCGGCTGGACACGGCTGGTCACTCTCTTGCAAGCGGAGGACCCGCTGGAGCCGCAGTGGACTTCAAAGGAGACGGAATAGGCATGGGCAAGGCGTCTGGGCCGGATGATGCCATGAGCGAGGAGATCGACCGCCTCGACGAGGTGGAGGTCAGGACGAGGCGCCTGCAGATCCAGGTGCATGGCTTGCAGGGAGTATTGCAGAAACTTGACAATGCGCATGCCGGTGTCCTGCTCCTCCGGCCGCGTGAGCGTGGCATCAAGCAGTTTCTCGACGAGGCCGAGAGCATCGTCAAGAAGCTCTCCCCGAATGATTTCTCGAAGGCATGGACCGGCGGCAGCTATGTTCTCGTGGAGCCCAAGATATGGAGTGAGAACCGCAATCTCCAGAACAAGCTACGTGATCTGACCAAGCATACGGACTTGAAGGTGGTGATCACCGGAGGCCAGATGAAGAAGCTGGTGGACACCATCCCCCAGGCATGCTATTTCGGTCTGCAGCAGGCGGGCATCGACCGCGCGACCATCAAGACCTACTGGGCGTACAGCGTCCAGAACCCGAACTTCAGCGTCCTGGTCAAGGATACCGTCGCGGTCACGGGCCTCTTCGACGCCAGCGAGGCCATCATGAGCGTGTGCGTCCGCGACGCCAACGGCCAGGGCTTCAACGGGAAGGCGCCCATGGCCTTCTTGCAGGACAGGCTCAAGGACACCCCCTTCTTCTTCGACACGGAGTTCCTCACCCAGGAGCACCCGCTGCAGGCCGCGGGCAAGCCCCCGCGCGGGCGCTGACGGGCGCGCGCCGGTCTGGCAGACTTCCGGCGCCCCCTCTTTTCTTTTTCTTCTTCCCGCTCCCCCCTCGCTCCCCCCTCCCGCCCTTCTCCCCCCTCCGCCCTCCCTCCCCCCCTCCTTAATCGATCCGTCGCGGTGACTGGGCTCCATCCGGGGCCGCGAATGGAGGGGGGGCGCCCCACTGACGTCGCTGAGCAGAGGCACCCTGCAGCTCCGACGAATCTGGCACAGGACAGCAGGGCAGGGCACGGCGGTCGCGGCGATGCGTCTTCACCCGCCTCGGTCGTTCTACCGCTGCACGGGGGACTTCAGTCCGAAAAGGAATCGCTCTCTGTCCTTGATCACCCCCGCAGCCTTCCTCCTACCTTCTCTATTCCCCTTTTATTGCAATATCGTCATGCACCCAGAGAGGCAGGGACAGGGACGAACACACGGGGGCCCCCGGACATCCTAGGGAATCACGAGGTGTCAGAAACCATGCTGGAGCCCACTTGTGCCCCCCCCCTCGTCCTCGCCATTCCCCGCCATATTCTTTCTGATTACGAACACAAAACCAAACTTTTGGGCCGTCCGGGGGGTGGGGCAGAAGCCCCGGCATTCCCCGGAGGACCGCGGACTCGGGCAGAAGCCCTCACAGTCCGCACCACGCCCGCCGGGGACGGGCAGAAGCCCAACCCCGGAACACAATCGTCACACGCGCAACAGTTACATGGGATGGGTACCGTTACGTGTGACACCTTCCGTGGTACAGCGGGTCAGCCGCGGGCTTCTGCCCAGCGGAGACCAAAACCCCGGAACCACACGCCCCTCCATGATGAACAAGGCCGCAGCCGCAATGCGAATCGCGGCATAAGAAGCAGCACGGCCGTACGAAAGCGAAAAGCCGCACGTACCGAAAAACGACGCATAGCACGCATTTCACATAGACAACGAGGGACCAATTCTGCAGCACGTCTCTCAAGCCAACAGGATCGGGCTACGGCCCAGTATCCTTCCGCCGCTCCACCAATGGAGCTTTGGCGGCGCACGCGAACGCTATCTCTTGGAAACAAATTGCACGTCGCTACTGCAAATGTCCAGGGACTAGCACAGGCAGGCAAGAGAGAAGAAATTGAAATATGGATGAAGCAAAAAGAAGTTCCGTTCCTTGCAATCCAAGAAACCCATATTCGCACCAATTCGCGGGAAACCCGCAAAGATTACCATTGGTATTTCGCCGGAGAAGGCAAAACGCAAGCACAGCACTTTTCGACGGGAGTTGGTTTTGTAATCAGCAAACATCATTGCAAATACGTAAAAGATGTAGTCCCGGTCTCGGACCGGATCATTGTGTTGGAACTGCGACAACAAGCAACACAATTGACACTCATTGGCGTATACGCACCAACCGCCGCGCGCCCAGAAGCGGAGAAAGACGATTTCTATGCTGATCTCTCGCGCATTTGGGACCGATACAAAAACAAAGGCCCAACATTGATTTTAGGTGATTTCAATGCTAGAATACACATTGCATTGGATGATGCCGAGCGAACTGTAGTCGGCCAACACACTTTCGATCCAGAAAACGTCAACCCTCTCCAACGCAACCCGGATTCTGTGTACAACAGGCAGCTTTTTCTGAGCTTCTGCGTTGACAATGATCTGATTCTCACCAACACACAGTTCCGAAAACGGCCAGAAAAACTAGCCACGTACAGGAAACCTGGCGCCACTTTCAGTAGCCCGTACACCAGGCAGTGGCGCGAAGTATTGGACTATATCCTCGTGGGCCGCAGATGGAGAAGAGCCGTCCTTGACTGCGAAGCCGATCGAACCGCGAATATCCACTCGGACCACAGACCGCTTCGGGCCACGTTCTGCGTGCGCCTCAAGCGGGGCCCCGAGAAGGCAAAAACGCCTCGACCAAAGTTTCTACCTTGCACGGAAGACCAAGCGGAGACATTCAATGCCCAAGTAACATGGCAAATCGCCGCAGCAAGTGGCGCGAGCCCCACGGAAACAGTCCAAGCAGCATTAGCGGGAGCCTCGTTGTCAAGCCTCCCGAGAGCACCTCGCAAACCAACGCAGGAGAAAATATCAGCCGGCACGCTGGAGCTACTCGAACAACGCAGGTTGGCCTTGCTTAATCAGGACCTACACGCGTATAGTTTGCTCTCCACGGAATTCCGGAAAAGCAAGAAACGAGACAGCCGGGAATATATAATTAAGACTTTAAGCAAGGACCTCGACACTCGGGACGTGTGGATGGGCATTCGACAGCTCAAAAAAGGTTACGTAGCACAACCGTACAACTTCAAGACAGCACAGGGCAAAAATGTACCAAAATGCCAAATGGCAGAGGAGGCCGCCAAGCATCTGGCCACCAAACAATGGAAAGCAATTGATGCCCTCCCTGGGTCGACGCTGCCGCGCTCCAAGATAGTGCAACCGATGCTGCCTTACAATACGGGAGATATCGCCTTGGCCGAGGCACGAGCGGTGCTGAAGAAGTGCAAACGACGCAAGGCCCCTGGGCCGGACAACGTCCCAATGGAGGCCTTGAAAGAATTGGACGATGTGAACCTCTCCAAAATGGTAGACTTGCTAAACGAGTGGTGGCGCTCGGAAACTGTACCTCCGGACGTGGCCCAAGCCCGCGTCGCGCTGATTTTTAAGAAGGGAGACACCGGCAAACTGGACAACTACAGGCCGATTTCACTACTCAACAGCGTATATAAGCTGTATGCTGCAATCCTTCAGAAGCGCATCGAGGAACACGTTGACCCATATGTCCAATCCACGCAGTACGGCTTCCGCCGGCGAAAGAGCACTATGCACGCCGTTCAGTGCGTGAGACGATTCGCCGAGATGGGCGAAGCGGCCGACCGACAGGTGCTAATGGTTTTGCTCGATTGTGAAAAAGCGTTTGATAAAGTCACGCGAGAGAGTCTGTGGAACGCCATGGACCGCATGAATGTGCACCCCAAGCTGATCAAAGCGGTGCAGAGCATTTACCGCGTCACGCAGTTCAAGGTCGAAATGGAAGGAGCGGAATCGTCGCGGTACGAACAACAGTGCGGTATAAGACAAGGCTGTCCTTTGTCGCCATATTTGTTTTTGTTGGTCATGACCGCTCTTTTCCATGATGTCCAGAAAAACGTGGACCGCCAGCTCGGCCCGCATCGTCTGCCAGGCGTAAGCTTTGACGCTGTTTTGTACGCCGATGATACCATCTGTATATCGCAAAGCACCAAAGCAATGAATGCGCTGTTAAAGTCAATTGAAGAAGAAAGTTCCAAGTATGGCCTTCGACTCAACACAACCAAGTGTGAAGTTATCCACGCCGGGCATTCCCACCCAAACATCCATTTCGCCAACGGGGACCCTGTGGAAGTCAAAGCGGAAGTCAAATACCTTGGATGCATGCTTAATAATAAGAGCGACACTACCAAAGAAGTCAATGCTCGCATCTCTCAAGTTCTCGCTACGATGAAAAAGCTCAACATTTTCTGGTTGCACAGCGACTGCCCCACTCGCTTTAAAATCCTCGCTTTCGACGCGACAATCCGGTCTAAGCTCCTGTACGGACTGGCCACAGCACAGCTCACGCAAGCAACGATCAAACGGATCGACACAGTGCAGCTGAAAGGACTCCGCAAAATCCTGCACATGACAACGACATACGTCAACCGAGCAAACACGAATGCTCTCGTTTTCGAAAGGGCGAACCAGAGTATCCAAGCTGCAGGAGCAACCAAACCAGTGACTCCGTTCAGCCAAATGTACCACCAACAAAAGCTGAAACTGTATCAAAACCTCTTGAACGCCGATCCTTCGGACCCAGTCCGGCAAGCAACCATGAGAGCCGACACGCTAGAGTTTCTACGATTCGAGAAAAACCTGGCGGGGCGACCTCGGTTGAAGTGGACGAAAGAAACTGCTGAGGAATACTGGATAGCGACAGCCGCCCACCGACCCCCTGCCCTCCGGAACATTGCTCTAGATCTTTCTCTCGCCACACATCGAGAAGCCTTGTTAGAAGTAGCTCAAACGTTGCCCTTATAAAATTATGAATGATTGTCAGACCGGTGCAATCCGTGGATTCTCTCTTCCCTCCCCTTCCCCTCCCCTTCCTCTCCCCCCTCCTCCCCCTCCCCACTCAGCCCGGCACGCTCGGCGCAGCGTGCGCGCCGCACGTCGCTCCGAGGCGCGGAGCGGCCAGGGAGGCCCCGAGGCCCCGCCGGGGGCATGGGACGAGGAAAAGTAGTCGGAGCAGGAGTACGAGTCAAGCTAGCCAGTTCGAGCGAGTCAAGCATGGCATGCCCATTCCCACCCGCCATCCCACAACATAAGAAACAGTGCTTGCGGAACTGGGGACCGAATCAGATCGGCAAGGTGGTTTGCCACAGCTGATGCAGCCGCGACGGCGGTGACCGATAAGAATTCCCTGGCGCGTCTCAAAGACTGCGCTGGCATGTCAGCACGAGCCGAGGAGGCCCCAGGAAGGACCCCCAGGAAGCCCTAGAAGCTTCAGGAGGGCCCAGAAAGTCCCAGGTAATTCCAGGAGGCTTCAGGAAGCCTTAGGAAGTGTCAGGAAACCCCCGGGAAGTCCCAGGACGTTCCAGGATGCCTTAGGAGGCTCCAGGAGGATCCACGAGGCCCTGGGAAAGCCCCGGGAAGCCCCAGGATGTCCCAGGAGACCTTGGAAGGCCCCGGGGGGCCCTAGGCGCTCGACGATTAGGCGAGCGAAAAATGTGCGCCGCGCCGTAGCGGGAGCGCAACTTTCAGAAAACATGCGCGCGGCGCCGAAGCGAGAGCGACATTTCGCCTTGTCGCGCGCGATGTGCACCGCGCCCCTCTCCTGCCACCCATTTCGCAAAGCCGACGATAGCAAAATCCCCACCGAGAAGAAACATCTCGACTTTATATGGCTTTTGACAGGTAGGATGGCCCCTCCCGCTGGGGTTGCCCCAGGCGTCCGCGCGCGATGCGCACCGCGTCCCGCTTTTGCTACGCATGTCGCATCGTCGACGACAACAAAGGCCATGTTGAGAAAGCACGACTTCTTTGTATTGTTTGGTTAGAGTTCGGATGGGAGGGCCCAGAGTGACGGCCGCGCGCGACGCGCGTCGCGTCCTATTATTGCTACGCGTTTCGCATCGTCGACGATGAGAAAGGCCATGTTGAGAGAAAAACAGCGACTTTGCAATTACAGATGGGAGGGCCCGGATGGAGCCCCTATCGGCCAGCCAGACGGGTGAGTAAGAGTAAATCCGAATAAGGACTAATGATAAGCGTGGTAGTATTACTACTACTACCACTACGACCACTATTACTACTACTACTACTACTACTACTACTACTACTACTACTACTACTACTACTACTACCACTACTACTACTACTACTACTACTACTACTACTACTACTACTACTACTACTACTACTACTACTACTACTACTACTACTACTACTAGTAGTAGTAGTAGTTAGTAGTAGTACTACTACTAGTATACTACTACTACTACTACTACTACTACTTACTACTATACTACTACTACTACTACTACTACTACTACTACTACTACTACTACTACTACTAGTAGTAGTACTATTACTACTACTACTACTACTACTACTATTACTACTACTACTACTACGACGACTACTACTACTACGACTACGACTACTACGCCTACTACGACTACGACCACTACTATTACGACGACGACTACTACTACGACGATTACTAGTACTACGATTACTATTACTACGACTACGACGACTACTACTACTACTACTACTACTACTACTACTACTGCTACTGCTACTATTACTACTACTACGACTGCTACTACTACTACGACTACTCTTATTACTGCTACTACTACTACTACTGCAACTACCACTACTACTACTACTACTACTACTACTACTACTACTACTACTACTACAACCAAGAGCAGAAGTAGTAGTGGTAGTAGTAGATGCCGTCGTCGTCGCAACAGTAGTAGTGGAATTATTGGCAGGAGTAGTATCAGCAGTACAAGCAGTAGTAGTAGTAGTAGTAGTCGTAGTCGTAGTCGCAGTCGTAGTCGTAGTCGTAGTCGTAGACACGCTCGTACTCGTAGCCGTCGTCGTAGTAGTAGTAGCACTAGTAGTAGTAGTAGTAGTAGTAGTAGTAGTAGTAGTAGTAGTAGTCGTCGTAGTCGTAGTAGTAGTAGTAGTAGTAGTAGTAGTAGTAGTAGTAGTAGTAGTAGTAGTAGTAGTAGTAGTAGTAGTAGTAGTAGTAGTAGTAGGTAGTAGTCGTAGTAGTAGTAGTAGTAGTAGTAGTAGTAGTAGTAGTAGTAGTAGTAGTAGTAGTAGTAGTAGTAGTAGTAGTAGTAGTAGTAGTAGTAGTCGCCGTAGTACTAGTAGTAGCACTGTAGTAGTAGTCGTAAAAGTAGTAGTAGTAGTAGTAGTAGTAGTAGTAGTAGTAGTAGTATAGTAGTAGGTAGTAGTAGCAGTGGCATTGGAAGTGGCAGTGGAAGCAGTAGTTGTAGTAGTCGCAGTAGTCGTTGTAGTCGTAGTAGTCGTAGTCGCAAAAGCAGCTGGCAGTAGCAGTAGTAGTAGTAGTAGTAGTAGTAGTAGTAGTAGTAGTAGTAGTAGTAGTAGTAGTCGTAGTAGTAGTAGTAGTAGTAGTAGTAGTAGTAGTAGTCGTAGTAGTAGTAGTAGTAGCAGCAGCAGTAGTAGTAGTAGTAGTAGTACCAGTACCAGTACGACTAGTACGGGTACGAGTAGTACGAGTAGGTCTAGCAGTACGAGTAGCACTGGTAGTGGTAGTAGTAGTAGTGGTGGAAGTAGTAGGAGAAGTAGTGGTAGCAGTAAAGGTAGTAGTAGTAGTAGAAGTAGTAGGAGTAGTCGTAGCAGTAGTAGTCGTAGTAGTAGCAGGAGCAGTAGTAGTAGTAGTAGTAGTAGTAGTAGTAGTAGTAGTAGTAGCCGCAGCCATACCCGTAACAGTAGCAGTAGTAGTAGTTGTAGTAGCCTTCGTAGTAGTAGCGATATTAGTAATAGTAGTAGTAGTCGTAGTGGTAGAAACGTAATAGTGGTAGCCGTAGGCATATTCGTAGTAGTAGTCGTAGCCGTCGCCGTGGTAGCGCCAGGCGTAGTTGTAGCCGGAATAGTTTAGCAGTGACGATCTCAGAGTAGTCATAGTCGTAGTTGTAGTCGTAGCAGTAGTAGTAGTAGTAGTTGTTGTTGTTGTTGTCGTAGTAGTAGTAGTAGTAGTAGTACCAGAAGTTGTATCAGTAGCAGTAGTATGAAGTAGTAGTAATAGTAGTAGTAGTAGTAGTAGTAGTAGTAGTAGTAGTAGTAGTCGTATTAGTAGTCGTAGTAGTAGTAGCAGAAGTAGTAGTAGTAGTAGTAGTAGTAGTAGTAGTAGTAGTAGTAGTAGTAGTAGTAGTAGTATTAGTAGTAGTAGTAGTAGCAGCAGCCGTAGTGGTAGTAGTAGTAGTATTAGTAGTAGTAGTCGTAGTAGTAGTAGTAGTAGTAATTGTAGTAGTAATTGTAGTAGTAGTAGTAGTAGTAGTAGTAGTTGTTGTTGTTGTAGCAGTTGTAGTATTAGTAGCAGTAGTAGTAGTAGTAGTAGTAGTAGTAGTAGTAGTAGTAGTAGTGGTAGTAGTGGTAGTGGTAGTAGCCGTAGTAGCAGCAGGACTAGCAGTAGTAAGTAGTAGTAGTAGTAGTAGTAGTAGTAGTAGTAGTAGTAGTTGTAGTAGTAGTAGTAGTAGTAGTAGTAGTAGTAGTAGTAGTAGTAGTAGTAGTAGTAGTAGTAGTCATAGGGGAAGGCGACAGGTAAGACGAGGAAGAGGGGAGACGAGGGAGGAGGAGCAGGAGGTGAAGCAGAAGGAGACAGAGAATGAGAAGTGATGAGGGAGGAGAGGGGAGGAGGACAAGCTACGCTCGCTCGCGTCATATCTGACGTCCTACCCCTCCCCCCCAGCCCTTACTATGGCGTACATCTCTCTTGTATTCGCCCAGTCGGATGTCGCAGCAGGGAATAGATCGCATTTCATGGCATAGCATGGTGCTGAAGACCAACGGGCAGCCTGACATAGCAGTGCGTGGCGTGGCGTGGCTTCTGCGGTCCAAAAAACGAACGAATCGACACCGAATGGGTAATCACGTCCGATTGTTGGTTCGGGTGGTCATGTTCTGGTTTTTGGGGCCTAGTTGAAAGGACCGACAACCATGCCGTGGCATGGCGCTGGAAATAATGACGCCAGCGCTACAGCGGGAGTACGATTCGGAACGAGCGCAGGCGCGGAAATGAGGCCAGCGCTGGAGCGGGAGCACGATTCGGAGGACGCGTAGCCTGACATAGCATGGCGTGGCGACGCCCCAAAGTGGGGGATGGGGCTTCTGCGAACCAATAAATTTACGAATCGACGCCGACGGTGTGGAATCACTTCCGATGTTTGTTTTGTTCGGGGGGCATGTTCTAGATGTTGGTACCGATTTAGAAGGACCGAAAACCATGCCGTGGCATGGCGCTGGAAATAATGACGCCAGCGCTGCAGCGGGAGCACGATTCGGAACGAGTGGAAACGCGGAAATGCGGCCAGCGCTGCAGCGGGAGCACGATTCGGAACGAGAGGTAGCCCGAAAATATGGCCAGCGCTTCAGCGAGAGCAGCATGTTGAAGAAATAAAGAAAAAAGTTAGCGAAAACCCGTTTCCCAGGAATCCTGCGTGCAAAAAAATTAGTACGCGGAGGGAGGCCGGGTATTTCCCGGACGTCTCCAGGAGAGAGGAGAGTAGTATTCACATTGTGTAGCTGTGGAGGGAGGAGGAGGAGGAGGAGGAGGAGGAGGAGGAGGAGGAGGAGGAGGAGGAGGAGGAGGAGGAGGAGGGCGACGAAGTGGAGGAGGAGGGGCAGGAGCAGGAGCAGGAGGAGGAGGAGCGGAGAAGGAGGGGGAGGGGAAGGAAACGGAGGGAGAAGGGTGAGGAGGGGGGGCAAGGAGGGAGGAAGAGCAGCACGAGGAGATAGGTAGCCTCCTGCTGGGCAGGCGAGTGCCTGGCGACGGGCGATGGCACCCTGGCGGTGGTGGTTGGCCCGCTGGCCGGTGAGCGGCAGCTTAGAGCGCGTCCCTTGAGAGCAGGGAGCAGGTGGGAGGATCTGTCGTAAGTAATGTTTGTTTCTTTTCCTGCTCATTCTTCTGCTCCTCCTTGTCATCCTCCTCCTCCTGCTTGACCTCCTGATCATCCCCATCATCCTCCTCATCCTCCTGGTCCATCTCCTCCTGCCTCCTCCCCTCCTGATCCTTCTCCTGGGACTGATCCGCATCCTCCACATCATCTTGGTCCTGCTACTTATTCGTCTCCTTCTCATCCCCCTCCCGTCCCTCCTTTCTCGCTTACGCAGCGCTACGAGTCGCCCCGAATGAGCGAACCCCTGGGAATTAAATTATCTGACCATAAGCAGCTTTGAGTATCGCGGGGCAGTTGAGACGGAAGAGGTGGCCATCGAAAGGATTGCGGCGTTGATTGGGGGAGGAAAGCCGTTGGGCTCGTGGGGGAATGCATGGTTTGGCGCGAGCCACGCTCGCCGCCATTTCGTGCCCACTTCCTTCCTGGCTCTTTCACTCCTCTCCTTGTGTGCGGAGTGCGCGGAGTTGCGCTGCTGCCCGCCAGGCACGCGCCACTCTCGCGTTGGCCCGAGCCCGGGACCCCGCCGTCTTGTGCTCATTTCCTTTCCTCGTAGTTCTCACCTCTTGGTCCTTGCGCCTCGGAGGCCGCGGCTCTGGGCACCGCGCACTGCGGAGCCCCCGCGACGCGCGCCGGTCGCCCCGAAGGAGCCCTGGCGAAGCGCGCGGCATTGTCCGCGGCACGGAGGGAAAAACAGGGGCGGCTGACAACGGGCACGGCGCTGGGCAGAGCGCGCGGGCGTCGGGCAGCTCCTGGAGGCAAAGCACAGGGAAGCCTCGGCGAGCCCATGAGGCCACGAAGCGTGTGGAGGGGCGTTCGGTGGAGCTCTCTATGAGGCCACGAAGCGTGTGAGGGGTGTGCCGAAATCAACAGAAGGTGAACGGGGAACCGCAGGTGGACCCTGCCATTGGGGCCTTGGGTGGAGCTCCCCATGGGGCCACGGAGCGTGTGAGGGGTGTGCCGAAATTGACATGCGGTGGGCCAGGGCCCGCATGCGGACCCTGCCACTGGGGGCCTTCGGTGGCGCTCCCCGTGGAGCCGCGAAACGTGCGATGGGGCTTGCCGAAACGGAACATGCAGCGGGCGGGGGGCCGCACGTGGACCTTGCCACTGGGGCTTTCGGTGGAGCACCCCATGGGGCCACGACGCGCGTGAGAGAGATGTGCCAGAGCAGTGGCGTGCGGAGGGTGAAGGTAGGGATGGGATGGGATGGGAAGAGGAGGGGGAGGAGGAGAACGGAGGACGGGGGGCAATGTGTCTTGTGTCTTCAAAACGAGGACCAAGCCGCACAGGATAGTTGGGAAGAGCGTACGCTGCGGCACATCTAGAATCCTTGCTCTGATCGCCATGTACAAGCCGGCGCAGTTCTGCCAGGGGGAAGGGGTTGGGAGGACCGAAGTCTCATACTACACGGGGAAGGAGGAGGAGGAGGAGGAGGAGGAGGAGGAGGAGGAGGAGGAGGAGGAGGAGGAGGAGGAGGAGGAGGAGGAGGAGGAGGGGGAGGTGTGCCAAGCTAGGCCGTGCTGGTAGTCTGCCTGGGCCTGCTCGCGGGGCCCAGCTGCCCAGGACCCCAGTGGGAGGGGCCAGAACGAGCCCGATCCCCCAGGGGAGGAGGAGGAGGAGGAGGAGGAGGAGGAGGAGGAGGAGGAGGAGGAGGAGGAGGAAAAGGAGGAGGAGGAGGAGGAGGAGGAAAAGGAGGAGGGCACGCATCCAAGGGCTGCACAGAAGAGGGGTCGGGAGGAACACTGTCCGGGGTCCGACAGCGGCCCGACTGTCTGCGACCGCAGTCGTCACAAATATAAGAATGATCACAACGATGTTATCCACGATAATAAAGCCAACAACGATCTTAACGATAACAACGTGCGGCCAACCCGCATAATAAGGATGGGCAACCTTCCCAATGGTACCCTTGTATCCTTGCCCCTTCGGCCCATCCTTGGCCATTTTCGCTGGCCGCGCCCCGCTCGAACAGCTTCGAAATGGGCTTCCAAGGCCCTTGGACCCTTCGCGCGTCCTTGTGATGTGGGTCGAATGTAGTCGTCTGGCGTCAAGCTGGCCAGTCTCACCACCGAGTACGTGTAGCTGTGCTCGTCGCGCCTGTCGAAGCCTTCTTGTGTCACTTCCCCTTGCCGAAGAAAGCTGTCGCAGTCCTTGGGCTTCTCGTTGGACTCCTTTCTGTACGCGTACCTGTCGTAGCTGCTTTTTCGTGTTGCAGGTCTTGTTTATGTGATTGTTGGATTATTGCCTGCCAATGGCGGCGGGTATACCAGGAGTCACTATTCGGATGCATTCGCTTCCGCTTGCCACTCTTGCCCTTCAATGGCCGCGAGTAGTCGCAGGAATAGCGCCTGTGTCCACTCCTTCGCGGTCATGGGCCTTGGCCGCACGTTGTCCAATGGGTTGTCCAAGTTCGCTTGTGATGTACTAGCGCGTTCTTGATACATGTCCTAGTCCATTTGCTCACCTGAGCCCCAGCCTTCCTATCATCCCTTTGATGGAAGCCCCGAGCATCGATCGGCACGACGATGCTGACGCCTGCGCAGTTGCCCACGACAGCAAGGCTGATGATGAGCTCCTGGGTGATCCTGAGAGTGCCCCCCTTGCTGAAGCTGTCGGCGGCAGCTGTCGAGGGGCCCGCTGGTGGACGCAGACAAGCCAAGGGCCGCCACGGGCGGCTGACAACGGGCACGGCGCTGGGCAGAGCGCGCGGGCGTCGGGCAGCTCCTGGAGGCAAAGCACAGGGGAGCCTCGGCGAGCCCATGAGGCCACGAAGCGTGTGGAGGGGCGTTCGGTGGAGCTCTCTATGAGGCCACGAAGCGTGTGAGGGGTGTGCCGAAATCCAGAGCCGCCACGGAGGCGCGAAGCTGTCAACGGCCCTCGCTCAACCTCGCCCCTGTGGGGGGGGTGGAAGGGGAGCGGCGCGAGAGCGCGAAGTTCTTCGCGCTCTCGCGCAGTGCGCAGCGCGAGCAGGGCTGCCCTTTCTGCGAAGCGCGAACATGGCCGCCCTTGATAAGATTGCCCTCTCCCTCCCCAACCGAGGACCAGCACGCGCTGGCGTCAGCACGCGTTGCCGTCATATTTCTCATAGCCTGGGTCGGGGGCATCCGCTCATAGGCTTTCAACTTGCTCCAGTGCGCCGAAATGAAAGACCACGCTGGGCTCAGGAGGGGCTCTGGTGCTCGGGCCGCTCCTTCGTCCTGGGCCGGGGCACCCGCACGTGGCCGAGGCTCGCCGTGGCCACACGAGCCGCGTTCCCCAGAATCGCGCGACGACTGCAGCTGCTGTGGACCGAACGGCCTCTCCCCCCTCGACCGCGCCGGCATCCGCCAGCAGCCCGGCGCCTCCCGGCAGCCGAGATAGAAAACCTTCTCGCGGCTCCGCGCCGCCTCGTGGCCCGGCGGGCTCCGGCAGCTCTGCGCGCGGCCCTCCGCCCCCTCGCGAGCCAGCGCCCTCCAGCCGCAGCGCGCGGTCCTCGACGGCTCGCACTGCCGCGCCCGCGCCTTCCCGCGGCCCGCTTCCTGCGGCCGCCGGGGCCGCCCCCGCGGCCCCCGAGCGTCCCCCGCGCCCCAGCCTCTCCCCCCCCCCCTGGCGAGCAGGCGCGCCAGGGGGGGGGGGGCAAAGAAGGTGGCCCGCGAGCCAAAAATGGCTACGGGCCTCCCTCGCTCCTCCTGCCCCCTACATCCTCGCCCTGTTTCCCCTTGTCGTCCTCCCTCCTGCCTCCCTCGCCCCTCCTGCCTCCCTCGTCCTCGTCCTGTTTCCCCTCCTCTTCCCTCCCTCCTGCCTCCCTCGCCCCTCCTGCCTCCCTCGTCCTGGTTCCCCTCCTCTTCCCTCCCTCCTGCCTCCCTCGCCCCTCCTTCCCCCTGCATCCTCGTCCTCTTTCCCCTCCTTCGGCCTCCCTCCCGGAGGTGCTGCGCCCGAGGCCGGGAGGCCTCACTGAGGCCGCTCGCTCCGCTCCCGGGGGCCGCCCCCGAGGCCCAAGGAGGGCCTGTCGAGGTCCTGTGGCTGGTTGGTCCCTCGGGCGCTCTTCGGGCCCCCCCCCTCATACAGTGGAGACCCATGCCAAGAATGAAGTCGGGCCTGCCCCTCTACAGGGGGGATATTCGAAGATAGTCAAACAATAGTCTGGGGACTATGTTTGAGTATTTTGGGGCATCTTTTGAGTATGTTTTGAGTATTTTTCATTTGTCGTCCAAAATCCCCCTGTAGGGGGACAGGCCCGACCTAAGCCAAGAAACACCCTGCTTGCCTCCAGGGTGCCCTTGTTTTTGTTGGGTTTCGATGGCTTTGCTATGGAGAGCGTGACGTTCCCACACCAGGAATCAGTGGACGTCCTGGGGCCTCAGGGTTGGGTTTCGTATGGAAGGTTTCTTGTGATCGAGCCCCATACTTTATTACGATGCCTAGCAGCTGGCGGTAGCCCAGAGGGAAGCCAGGTCTCTCGAGCTTGCCGAGCGATCCCAGGCTGCCAAAGCGCCGATCCGACCGTGTTGACTTGCCCCACGTCCATGAGCCTCTGAGACAGCATAGACTACAAAGGAGACGAGGAAAGGGGAGGGAGCAGGACGACCTGCTCTGACTGGGGCCAAGGATCGATGGCCTAGCTGTAGTTCGCTTAGAGTTCTAGCTTTGAGTGTGAGCGTCTCCAAGGCTCCAGGTTGTTGACCACAAGTGCCTCTTGAGGCATCCCTGGTTTTCCGGGGCAGGAGGATACGGTCAGAAACCTTGGCTTAGCGTGTCGCTCCGCCGGTTTGGGCCCACAACGTTGCGGCGCGACACGCTATTCACTTCGCTGTCCCATTTGCCGAGCTTCTCCCAGCCTCCCGCCCAGCGGAGCGGAGCGGCACGATATCCACTCGGCATAGTGTGCCGCCGGGGCCGATGCTGCCACACGCTAAGCAAAAGGTCCCGACCGTAAGCACGAGGATCAGATGGAGGGGGGCCTCCGCTTGAGGATGAGGAAGAGAGGGGAGCAGGATGAGGAGGACAGGCCTGTTCCTCCTCCCTCCCCTTCCCGCATGCTTCCTCGCATCGTTCCT